CCAGGATCCCCTTTTCCAAGGACACGGGTTTCCACGCACGGCGAACACGCGGGTGGCTTCTTGTCATCAGGGTCCAATGTAACACCGAACCAAGACGAAAAGTTCTAACCACAATAAGGATGAGAATCGATAACAAATTAGGAATTGTAACAAGATAAATAATTATATCAACGTAACAATTTTTTTTAATCCTAAGTCTAGAAACCAATTTTCTGCAAATGATATCCAGAATTTGGAGGTAAATATAATAATATTCGCTCACTAGGTCAATGAAATTATAAAGTGAAAGTCAGAAACTCAAAACAGGACCGTCGCAAGAGAGAAATGGAAGTATGCTAAGGTCCAGCTCGGGGCCCCGGGTGCGCCGTACCCGTCACACAAGAGTGTGCCCCTGGGGGTAGATCCCTTTTGAATACAGGATTCAAGCTTCTAAATTTTATTCTAATTTTCATCTGAAATGCTACATTTTACCAACTAACTAGTTAAATAACAATAATTGTTACAATATTTAATAAGTTGGGAAAAACGATATTATAATGAAATGCTTCTCTGATTCTTCAATTCCAACTATTCACACTCTATATTTTTATTTTGGTGAAATTTTCAATATCTTGTTGAATATATTTTTATTTATCTTCTCAAGTTTAATACAACTTTTATAAACTTGCTGTGGATGATAATGGAAAAGACTTGTATTTTACATGTTCAACATTTTCGTGCACCAAAATGCAAAAACAATGTTGTAACGAAAAATATTTCGATACAACTAACTCTATACTATGAGAAATTTTGTTGAGAATGAATTTCAAAATATTCCCTGTTCTTTTAGTGTGAGATTGAGCAAGGAATCTCCAAAAAGTTGTCTGTCTGGTTTGTTTATGTTTTAGTTTAGGATATGCCCACCGTGTCTTGTCCTTAAAGCAGTGTTTTAATATTAATTATAATTTAATTGATTAATTTTGGTTTTATAAGGATATTAGAAATATTGAAGCTCTAAACTAATATTTTCAAAGCATTAGCACACAAAATTTGATATTTTAAACAAAACTCGTTGATTTTCCTTCTGTGTATGCCAACACGAAAAAAAGTTTATGAATTAATTTTAGTTTGTTTAGATTCCATCAAAAATATTGAAGCCGAACTAATAAAATAACTATACTAATATTTTTCTTTGAATTTTAAAAAAATTTTTTATGCATTATACTTGTTTTTACTAAATTTTAAAAAAGTATCCAGTTATTATATTAATATGGCATATCAGTTCTATTTACAATTCATAAAAATGTTTTAACTAGAAGAGTTCACTGAATATGTAAATGGTACTTTTCATAATTTTCATTTAGCAACCTGGAATTTTTATGACGGATGATTCGTCAGCTGAGAAAGCAGCACTAAAAACAGTTTGGCCGGAATCTGTTCAGTTACTTTGCCACTTTCATGTTGCTCAGGCTGAGTGGAGATGGTTATTTGCAAATGGATCGAAGATACCCCAACAAGAAAGACCTCGTTTAATGAGACTTTTTCAAGCTGTAAGTACTGGTGTTAATTTCTTTCTATTATTTGTGAGCACATTAAGATGCAAGTTACAGACAGTTGAAATGTTCAATTTTGAACTTTCCTGAAGCTCTGATGGCTGATAGTAAAATGAACTTAAAAAAAGAATTTCCTATTTCTGTATAACAACCCATTTTTTAAAAATTTCATCTATGTCAATTTTTGTAATAATAACATTTGTAATAATTTAATAGATAATGAAATACCCCAGCTATGTGAAAAATATCTGTTTCATACAAGCAAAACAGATAATTCGTATAAAACTTATGTTGTACTGAATTAAGAATATTTTAATTCTGACAAAAAATTTTGATCTTCAAATAATTTTTAAGAAAAATTAGTAATTTGTAGGAATCACAATTTACATCATTTACAATTTACATGTCAGCAAACCATATTTTCTTGAATTAAAATACTTTGTATTCAAATATTCTTTACAATGGTGGCACATAGAAAGACTAAATTAATATAATGGTTAAATTTATTAAATAAACATTATTTATTTTTTTTTACTTTTCTAGGTCATGTATGCAAACACAGTTGATAAGCTGGAAACAGCTGTTTCCACTTTATTGCAAGAAGAAGCTGTTTATCCGAATTTTGTAAAAAGGTTCAAAAATTTTTTTACCAGAAAGTCAGAATGGTTGTTGCTTGACCGCCAAACTTTGATAACCCGTCAAAACAATACCAACAACTTCTGTGAGGCAACAATTAGAATTTTAAAAGATGTTGTGTTGTGCCGCACAAAGGCATATAATATTGTCGCCCTCACAGACTTCTGCATTTCTGTGTGGAATTCATATCTCAAACAAAAATTGATGGCTTTTGCTTACTCCAGGCGAGGTGAAGTTGTACTATTGTACAACAATTTAAATAAAAAAACACAAAGCTTATCAGAGGAAAATCTAAAAGAAGAAAGTGAGCACTTGTATACAGTAAAGTCGGCTGACGGAAAAAACATTTACACCGTTAATGTTGAACATGGTGTTTGTACTTGCGAAGCAGGAGCTTCCGGTGCTTTCTGCAAGCATCAGTTCTTTGTAATGAAAACTAAAGGTATGTCATTACCTAATGCACCACCAATTAGTGCTAATGACAGATACAGATTAGCTAAACTGGCTTTAGGTGCAAAGTCTCCTGATCCTAGTTTTTTTTAAGGATTCAACGAAACTATAGAAGGCATTAATATTATTGATAATGAAATGCATGAGGTAATTCAATCACCGGAAGAAGTAAATAAGGAAAATACTGATTCTCCTGGTGTCCAAAACGTCTCCTGTGAGGAAAAAAAATAATGAAGTTTTGAAAGAGTTGGAACGATTGGCGGACATGATGTCAACAAACAATAATGAAAATGCTGCTACTGCTGCTCTTAGTATCTTGAAAAGAATAAAAAAGCCTGATGATTTTCAGACTCTCTGTGTTTTGCCAAATTTGAGGGCAAAAAGATTGAAAAAAATCGGTGTTCAGTCTACATCAATATCTAGACGCAGGCTTGGGTTGACAAAATCAAAAAAACGTGTACCCTCAGGACGACCCTCTAGAATTCTGAAAAGGGGCATTTAAAGAAAAAGATGTTTGCAAGATAGCATTGTTAAAAATCAGCCAAATGCTAAATCGCATGGCTTATTTCATTAATTTTCCTTTCTAAATATTTGATTCAAAAATTATTTAGCGACTATGTAATAATCAAAATTTCTTAAATTTTCATTTTGTCTATTTTTAAAATAAACTAATGCA